AGAAATGAGGAAAAAAGGGAGTAACACTTTCCTCCCTGAAAACCTCATCCTAGTGCTGTAGTTTCTAAAGCCTTCATTTTATGCACTATTAGCTATTCTGGCTTGGAAGTGTTGCACTTTTCATTTTTAAAGGCCTTGATTGCATACTTAATCTAAAAAAAAAAAAAAAGGAAACTGCAAAACAAGGAAAACTCTGGTTCCCCTTTAAGAATCACAAGTTTCTGTGTACATAGACTAAATGAAACTGTAGTCAGGACTGATGACTGATCAGAAAGAAATCAAACTTAGTGTTAAGGATAGAAAAATACAAAAATTGGACTTTTATTCATAGCACCAAAAAAACCTCAACACATAGCAAAACAAAACAAAAAAACCCCAAACAAACCAAAACTTGTTTTTTTCCAGTAAGCTCTAAAAAGAAGATGTTTTCTATCTTATTTAAAATGCTGTGTTGCTGGGCATGATATTCAAGGTTTACTGTGTTTTGTCCAAGGCACTTCTTTCTCCATTCACATTTATTTAATATCACACTCATTAATTGCTTCCTCTTCCACTCTCATTAATTGCCATCTAAAGAAAATACAGTATTGCTTTATGTATGTGCACTCTGGAATACTTTCTGATCCTTGTGAATTAAATGTAAATTGGTCTGGTAAAATTCAACAACTGCTGATGTGTAGTACAGCTGAAGAGGAACACACTTTCTGCTTAATCTTCTTCCTCCTGCCATTTTGTCTTGATTATTTTTTGATATCTTTATCCTGTTTGCCACAAAGAGAAGGTTTCTTGACATACCAGATTCAATTCTGGAAGTCATTGCAGAGTTGATCATACTGGCTGCATTAAAGACAAATTGTGAATAAGAACAGCTTCAGAAGGTTCCTGTAATCAGAGGAAGATACAATTAGCCTTTTGGACATGCATTTCAGAAAACTGTAACACCATAGTTGGAGTACAATCATTTGAACAATGTAGTAGGCAAACATGGCCCAAATGTTTCCATTTTAGTATGTCATTTTGCATTGTCAGTAGAGAGCTGTTTGCTAAGATGTTGCTGAAAATTTGCCTTTTTTCCTGCAGTCCTGTATGAGGCGGTTAATGCAATAATCAGGCTGGCACTCAACTGAAGAGATGCATTAATTCGACAATAAGTTCAAATGTATTCTTGCAGAGACTATTGCATAAGATTACTTTATATGATGCTAACAACAACAACAAAAAAGATACTTGCATGCATGCAGTAAATATTTAAGATATTGCACTTTTATACATTTATTATGAAGAGGAATCACTCTCTCCCTAAAAATAAAATTCCATTTATCTCACAATGAAGTATCTGGAGTCTCTTAACAATTGTCAATTACTTGTGCACACAAGTGTGATTATTGTATACTAGAGGTTAATTAATCTGTTATCACATGCTGCAGAATACTTGGTTTATTTCAAATGCATTTGGAAAAGCCAAGTAATGTTTTTATTAGTATCTTGGTGACTACTTTTCTCATGTTTTTAGAAGAACACTCACAGTTGCTGATAAGACCTGATTTATTTTAGCTCAAGAAATTAACTGATTTATTATCAAAGTTTTTTATTCAAGTGCTTTAGAACTTCACTGTTTCACCTCACTTTGCTGAAGTTAACCAACCTGAGTGTAATTGAGAGGCAAAAAGCTAGATATAAATGTAGTCAAATTTGATGCTTCCCTTGCATAATAATCTTTTAATGTACAAATAAATTACATTACTATAATTTAGCTGATGGAGCTATTCCTCTTGAATTGCAACAAGATGTGGTGGTAGTAAAAAGAAATCAGTTGTCCTTATATACATAATCATATTATTCAGATTCTTTTCAAGATGTTGGAAGGGTTCAAATAATATTATGACTCATACATGTAAAAACAGCTTAACTGATTTTCAGTATTATTTAATGGTCTAGAAATTGTTGGAATACCTTGTAAGAAGTTATAGAACTGGTGCTACAAGTGAAAGATTCTGTGGTTATGGATTAAATAATTCTCTTTTGATACATATTCAAACTTATACATGCTGATTTTATTTCTGCTAATATGAAACAAAAGCAATTCCACTCTAGATAGCAAAACATAATCCTCAATTAAAAACCAGAAGGGCAAAGCATTACATAGCTAGAAGGTAAATACAGGGCTTAATCTAGATGATAGTATACAATGTAAATGAGCACAACAAATTTCCTAAGCAGAGAAAAGTTTATGTAAACTGAGAAATAATTTGTGAGTTGCTTAGTTGACTGTTCACTTGTTCAAGCTTAATAGAAAAGCATTTGAGATACTTTATTAGCATCTCTCTAGGAGACATCTTTAAACATTTTGAAGTTCAAAGCAAAGTAGGTTAAAAGCTCTTTCTCCCTTACTCTGATGTTCTGGAGTTGAGAAATACACACTCACTCTCACAATGCATACATTTCGGGATGTTTAAACAGATACTTCCGAATTGCAGCAGAGGGGGGTAGTGAAACACTGCAAGGCATGGAAGGCAAACCTTATGTCCCCAGTCATGTAGATGAAATTATTTTGCCGGTTGATCTGCAAAATACACATAACTTAATTATTTCGTTTGTCTTCTCAGTAGAAAATATTATGGCTTCAGTATCCTAGAACAATCATTTTAATTCTAACTGAGGAGTTCTTAATAACCAACTCTTCAGTTTTTCTAATGGAAATAGGGACAATTGTTGTCTTACCCTAGGTTACAAAAACAGCTTAACACCTTTCCTGAACTCTTGGTCATTCAATATTTGATTTGCTGTCTTGGAGAGCCACAAGTATGACCTTTATTTAGCCTTCTGTTGCACAGCAGGCAAAAAGACAGGTCCTAACCACAGGAAATTAATGAAAGGGCAGACAAATTTAGCTGCTGCAGATTCATTTTCTGCACTCTATTCATACATAGTCTTTGCTTTTAATAATTCTGTGACCAACTCAGTTTAGGAGAAAATAGTTTCCCTTGTCTGCCTGGTGGTCTTTTGATTAAAACTTCTATTCCACTCATATATATATATATATGGAAAAGAAATCTGCTTCTCAGAAGAGGCTTCTTTTACAGCTGATTATCTGATATTTCCAAACATTAACTTGGTAATTGAAGGTCTGTAAGTCATAGAGGGTGTAGCATTAAAAGAAAGTGTGTATTTCCTTCATTTAGGCTGACAAGCATTATTTAAAATGCTTATGGGTACATGGAAATTGCTATTCAGTGCACAGCGATCACCTTGGCCTGCTGTGTCACTTGTGAACCCAGGGCCCTAAAGAATGGAAGTCATAGCAGAAAGTCATGGTGTCAGATGTTCCTGTGTTCAAAGGAAGAGTAGATATGCTGCTGCTTTTGTGGAACAAAATTTCTCTACAACAGAGATACCCATTTTCTTCCTTCTCCCTATCATTTTTATACATAAAAAAACCAACCAAACAGCAACAACAAAAAAAGCAAAACCACCACACCCAACCACAAAAACCAACCCTAACAAACAAAACCTCCCAAAGGAGCTGGGAAGGCTTATCACACACACACATTCCTGACAACAGTTTTCAGCCATGTTGTTTGAGCCTCTGAGTGCCCAGGTTTGCAAATATGACCACTGGCTGTTGATGTTGAGCCTGTAACTACATCAAGCCTGTAATGTCAGGCAGGATTTGATATGTGGTATGAAATATGTGGGTGCTGTTCCGTAAGAAGATGCCTTTCTCAAGTGGCAGGAGAAGTAAATACGTAATGACAGATGGCCATCAACCATCTACTAAGATCTATGGTGAGAACAGGCAAGACACTGGAATGTGAAGAATTCCACAGACCAAAGTTACTGATACAGGAGGGGACTTTCTTATGGCAGAAAACTATTACACTTTAACCAAAAATACACTGGGAAAACAGCAGTGTGGCATATGTCATACCACTTAATAAAAGTTCCTTTGAAAATAAAAATTGTAAAGTCTGAGGTAATTTGCCAAGACTTCAAGGCTGTCATTAAATAAAACACAAGTTGAGAATATATCTGTGCATATACTACCTAGCAGTAAATTCGGGAGCTGTGACATTTGGAAAATGGCATATATAAATGACATAAAGAATGCAACACTAAGCCAATGACAGGCCGCACAATTTTACTTCTTTCATCATAGACAAGTACAAATGCTTTTAAGTACATTTTTCTATTTGTATGTGCACATTTCTATTGGCATAGCAAGCATATCTAGGCATTTTGTGATGACTGAGAGTGCCACAGTCTTACAGATAATGCTTACCTATGTAAAGAATTTTCAAGAAGTTATTGTAAAATCATTGTAATTTCATAGTTGTTAATGAAAACTACAAGCTGTATTTTGATTTTTTTTTTTGTGTTAAATTAAACAAGTTTATTTTAAAAGTGTTTTCTACAAGAGCCTGACTTTCTTGATATTTTACATCAAAATATAGCTATGGTTTTGCTGCTGGCTGAAGAGGACTCGGTTTCACAAACTACAATGGTAATGGGGAAATTATGCATGCTGTGGTCAAGAGACCAGAAGTACCTTGTGAGAGCCACGGGCCTCTCCTGACTCTGCCTCCTTGCCCTCTCCCCAGGGGAACGGGAGCCAAGAGAAAGTGGGCCAGAAGCTTCCTGGCTGGGGCTGGTGCCAGTTTTAGGAGAAAAGCCAGAGCTGCCCGTGCGGTGCCGCCCGCGGGGAGCGCGGCTGGCCGGAGACACCGGCGGCTCTGGGAGGGGGTCCCGGGGACGCTGGCACCGGAGCCGGGCTCCGCACCCCGACCGCCCTCTCAGCCCGCGCTGCTCCGCTGCCGCCCGCACGGCTCCTGCCTCTCTCTCGCCCCTCGCACAGCACCAGCAGCCCCCATCCCCGGCTGGGCCAGGCGGGGCCACCACAGCCCCGAGCTGTGTCCGCGCTTCCCTGCCGGGGCTCCCGCAGCATCACCAACAATTCACACGCAGCTCGTGTCCCCCGCAGGCACACACACCCCGCTGCTCGGCAAAGCGACTCCCGCCTCTGGGGAGCTGCCACCATCCATGCGCTGCTGTCTCCGCTGAAACATCCGCGGCGTCCGTCTGGCTGCAGGTACTGCCCTGTGACACAAGGTGATAGCAGGGCTTGGCAGAGCTGCTGCAGGTGCTGGGGTCATCCTCTCACTATTGGCACCCTCTCATCCGTCCTTTATTTCCCTGGATGGGAATTGTCCCTGTCCTTGCAATAAGCTGGGGTCACTTATACTTGCACAGTAGACAGTATCAACCACCTATCCATGTACCTGTGTACGTATGTATGCATGCTTCTGTGTGTGTGTATTTATGTATGTATCTCTTCAGAAAGTTCATACAATTTAGAATTAGGATCATTTAGGTTGGGAAAACCCTTTAGATCACCAAGTCCAACCAGTGAGTGCAGCTGCCATGTTGACCACTAACCCATGTCTCCCTAACTGCCAGATCTACTCAGCTTTTAAATTTCTCCAGGGATGGTGACTCAGCCACTTTATGGGGCAGACTGTTCCAGTGCCTGACAACCCTTGCAGTGAAGAAGTTTTCCTAATACTCAGTCTAAATCTCCCATGGCACAACTTGAGAGCATTTCCTCTAGTCCTGTTGCTTATTACGTGGGAGACTGACCCCACTGCACCACAGCCTTCTGGCAGGCAGTTGTAGAGAGCCACAAGGTCTCCCCTGAGCCTCCTCTTCAGACTGAAAAATCCCAATACCTGGTATTTATTACTGGAGAGAAAGGAGAGTTCCTGGAAGTAATTTATGTACCTGATACTTTGAAGAAGCCAGTTTACAATAGCTTGGGAAAATTTTAAGTGATGTATAGAATAAAAAAGCACAGAGTTTTGCAAAGAAAAACCACAACTTTTAAGACAGTTACTAGATTAATAATGGAGATTCAGTAATAAGACAGATACTGCTGTATCATTTTTACTCAGTAGCAAAGGGAAGTGAAAGGCAGTACAACACAGAAAAAAAAATCTAGTCATAAATAATCAGAATCCAAGGGTAGGGAGTATAACAGTTAAAGGGAAGTTTAAATACCAAAGGACAAGGTAGCACCAAAAAGATAGATATTTAAGTACATTAGAATAATATTAGCAATGCTATAGGTCCTTCTTGGTTTTACCTAAATGGTAAAATATAAATATGAAGAAATTAGGAAGCAGGCATTCCATATGCCTATGTCTGGGATATGTCTGAAGGGAATAAAGCAAGGTGCTGTCAAGTAAGTATGATTGAATACTTTCTAATCCATTTGTCACTAAGGATAATTGTGAAAAATATTGAGTAAAAATTAAAACAGGCCCAGATAGCCTGCAGCCAAAAATTTTTAAAAAATTTTTTTCATTTAATGTAAAATTTTAATAAATCAGGAACTCCAAGAGAAACCCCAGAAGAGTGGAACCACGGTGCTGTTGTGCTACAATGAGATGTAGTTTAACTAATTAAACACTGCCAACAATGAGCATAAGTAAACACCCTGATAAATTTTCAAAAATATTTGCTTGAATGTTTACTGAGTGCTTTATGATAAACGGAATAACAGTGATTATACTCACGCTTCCTGTTCCAGCTCTGTCATGTTTGTGATGCGATCCTGTGGAATTGCTCTCCTGCTTTTTTTGTACAGTCAGTGGAGTTCACAGAGTAAAACCAGTCCAGCCAAACAGACTTTTGTGGGAGCTAATGCAGTTATTTTTGGTGAAGTTTAGACTACTGAAAAGAAATATAAAAATGTAAAACTTCATTATATTTGCCAGCGGAAAAAACACGTATTATTCTCCAGACAATATTTAATCCAATATGTTTCTAAGCTCCTCTGAACCTGCCGTTACTAATATATTTTTACAAGCATTATAAAATACTTAAATCTCATAGAAGACTGCTGCTAGAGCATCACTCTAACAGGAGATGGTGGGTTTAAACTCTCTGCAGATACAGAACCATTTATGCAACATTAATCTTAATTAGTGGTTTTAATCATAAAATGATGGAACTCTTTCCTTATACTTCAGGATTGCAGACTTATAATTATTGTGCAATAAACTGCTTTATTCCCCAACACCATAAATCTTTACAAAACAAAACATTAGTAAATACTAACATCAGCATGCACATGTGGATTTACTTGGGAAAATTATCCTATGTGACCAAACATTTAGGATTTCTGAGAGGTCCTGGACTTATCCTCTCACAAGAATGATTATATGAAAAATGCTTCCTCATTTGGTCATCCATAATGTATTTTTTACTTCTCTCAGGAGAGATAAGGTACACCAGCAGTTTTATTTTGCTCTCATAATTTCTTATTTGTTTGCAGCATTAGGATAGTGGATAACTTCACATTGCCAGATGAGATTAACCTACCATGAATTAGATCAGCAAAATCTGGCCATGATAGGTCTCAGACCTCTGGTAGAAAGAAGCTTAAGCTGCTGCTGGTTGTTTTCAAAGTATTCCTACTGCAAGGACAAGTTTTACCTTTGAGAATTAGACTGCCTTGTGATTTTTATACAATTCATTATTCACATTCTAAGTGCTAGAATTTAATTCATATCCTTTAACCCAAGTATTTCTGTTGAAGGGTAAGAATATGTTAAATAGTGTGCACTTGGAAGGTGGTTGAACCTGGGATATTTTCTCACTGCACCAGTATTTGGGGTCATTGAACCTGTCAAACTAGTTTGGGCCAGTAAGAAGGTTTCTCTGAATCTGTTCCTTTTAAGGAGTACAGCTACTGTGAGTTACTAAGCAATGACATGCACAAAGTACACAAAGTACGAAAGAAAATAAAAAAGTCAGCTGAAGTAAAACTTTATCAAAGTGTAAAATAGCAAAACAATAGAATAGCAAAACACATAGAAACTAAACCACCACCCTAAAGAGAAAGCCACACATGGTGTTAAAGCAAAATTAAGTTTATTTTAATCTCCCAGTTTTGGAAAATGTATAACAATTGAGATCTGTTTCTGTCTGAATGTCTGTGTCCTACATAACTCTTTGTTCCTAAGAAAAGTGGACAGAAAGCACTGCCAAAAAAAAAATGTGTATCCATTTTTCACAGGTTAAAATGACCGTGCTCTATGAAGGCTCAGAAAAAATAAGAGATTTCTCATTTTTCAGTACTTCTTGAGTGAATGACAGCAGGATTTTTTATGGTCTTCTACCACTACTCTCACTCATAGTAGGTATGAAAATATACATAGAATGTAGAAATAGGAAAATGTATCTGTAATTTAGGAGTAAAACAAAAATATTATTGGTATTAAGTATTCTGCTTTGAAGTCCCTTCTCCATATCAACAGTACCCAGAAAGCTGCTGTGAGCCATCAAAAAAGCCCCAAACAAACATTTAAAAATAGAAAAACTGCTTACTTCCCCATTGAACCTACATTAACACATTTTTGCTCATGTTTTTTTCTAAAACATCATCTTCCCCAATCCTATACTCATTACCTTTTTTAATCAACCAGCTACTTCCATGTAAAACACATCATGAAATACAAGCCTGTGAAGCATATAAACATTTCCTTCTGCTTCCTACCTCTACTCAAAATATCACTTCTCTTCCTGGTAGTTGCTACAGAGCCCTGCTTCATGGCCTTTTTGTTTGGTACCTTCTTGATTTAAAGATATTCATCTTCATCTTCAAGAATCATAACAACAATGAAAAATTGAAAAGAAGAAGAGAGCAGTAAATTATTGTGTATGCCTCTGCCCTTGAGTAACAATACGCAAGCAGAAGAAGGAGGGAACTACCTGTAGCTGTTTTATGATTTTGTTACAAGATATTCACTGAAAATTACTTCTGACCATTCTCCATGAGCCCAAACTAACTCTCACTTAGCTTAACAAAAAGGGGTGATTTACAACTTTTCCCAACTGCATGCGAGCACACCTTTTGAGCTAGTTTTCAGCAATATAGGCATGTGAGACAGTGAGATGTTTGAGTTATAAAGATTTTTACATCATATCAGATATTTAAAAATTTCAAATCTACCCCTATAAAAGCATATTTTTTTCATTTTAGCTGACAGTAGAATTTTCATCCCTGATGGTATAATAAAATTTTATACTGTAATTAGCTCTCAACAAAAACTGTACTGACACCAATCACTTACCTACTCCTTTTTTTTGGCAGTCTTATCAAGATTGTTGTGAGTTCATATGCCTGAATGTCTGAGAGTAGGCATGACTCACTAATGGTGGATCAGCCAGAGGTGTTAAAAGGAAAAGAGCTTGATGCTTATATCTGGTCTAAGAAACACGACTGGCTGACGGATATTTTGGGTGGCTGTATTTCTCTTCAGCTGCAGTGCACTAGTTTTGTCTGGGATAGGGTTAATTCTCTTCACAGGGGCTGGTATGGGGCTATGGTTTTAGATTTGTGCTGAACACAGGTTGATTACATAGAGATGTTTTTTGTTATTACTGAGCAGGGCTTACACACAGCCTTTTCTGCTTTTCATGCTGCCACACAGGGGAGGAAGTTGGAAGTGCATGGGAGGCTGGGAGGAGACATATCAGGGACAGGTGGCCCAAAATGACAAAAGGGATATTCCAGACCACTTGACATCCTGCTCAGTGCATAAAGTGGGGGAAGAAGGAGAAATGGAAGGATATTTGGAGTGATGGCATTTATTTTCCCAAGTCACCATTATGTGTGATGGGGCCCTGCTCTCCTGGAGATGGTTGAACACCTGCCTGCCCATGGGAAGCAGTGAATTAATTTCTTGTTTTGCTTTGCTTGTGTGCACAGCTTTCACTCTCCCTGTTAACTGCCTTCATCTCATCCTGTGAATTTTCTGACTTTTACCCTCCCAATTCTCTCCCAGTCCTACTGGTGGGGGAGTGAGTGAGTGGCTGTGTGGGGCTTGGCTTCAGGCTGGGGTTAAACCATGTCACGCATCAAGAGAGTTGTGGCAGAATTTTGACTTGAAAAGCCCCAGAGGAGAAAATATTGACAGCCTTATAGTCTGCACAATTATATTATTCATCTACAGAATAACCAAACTGTAAATAGTGCAAGCTTATTGAAGAAAGTAGTAAGTAAGCTGGAAAAAAAGACAATTAGTGATTAGAAGAAAGCTTAAGCATATCACATAAATATTTGCTCCAAGAATAAATTGCCCAGAGGATTACCTACATTGTACTGACTTGCTCTTATATGAAGAAATATATGAACCAGAGTGTGATATGTTGGGAAATATTGCCTGAAAGTGTTAAACAAGTGTGTGGATATGACATTTGGGGACCTGTTTTAGTGGTGAGCATGGAAGTGCTGAGCCAAATGGTTAGACTCACTTCCACTAGAGGTCTTTTCCACCAGTTTCCATTTACAGTTCTATGAGTCTGTGAAAGTTCTCTGGCCTGTTAAAAGGTGCTATGAATAAAGCTGATAAAGATAGGACATATACAGAAAAATAAATTTAGATCTTGTTTTCTTTCCTCGGAGAGCCAACCTTAATGTGGGAACAGAGATATGATGTAAATTTTCCAAGCGATTAGCATAGTGGGAACTGTACTGCTGTGTACATCTTTCTGTTGTTCCAACAAAAAACCTAATTCTGACACTTATCTCAAACTGTATGTCATCAAACAGGTCATCAAATGCTATTAAACAAGGCAAATATTTACTTGCAGTAGCAATTAGTAAAGTCATTCAGAAAACAGCCACATTTGTATGAAATTCCATGATCAGCAAACTCAGAGATCCTGACTTCTTCAAAACCTGCCATATCCTTATGTCAGGAAAATATTCTAAAAACTTACTATGAATAAAAACTACAAAAATATTTCACTTTTAAATTTTGAAGCAACTGTTATATAATTACTTACTCCTGCATATTTGCAAAGTTGGAGACAGTTGTTTTCCATCGACCTAGAAATACTAAGCTTAGATTTTAAAAAATATTTTATATTCAGGATATAAACACAAATAAATGCCCATGGGGAAAAAATCACCTTATGCTTGTTCAAATATTTGTTCATATTTCTATTTTCTAATGGTTTCACCTATCCCTGTTGCACAAATCAAAAGTTTGTTCCTTGTTATTAAAAGTGCTCAAAACTCAAGAAGTTCAAAAGTTCAAGTATCATTAGAAGGTTTGTTTTCTTTAGAATAAACCAGTAGAGAAAAACATGATGAGGGAAGACAAAGTAAAGTAACAGTCTCTAAGGAAAATTTGAATGCATACATGGAGAAAAGAAAAATTGAGGGGAAAAAACCCTATAACTGTTTAATTTTAGAATAAAATTATAAAAATAAAGTGTAATTACAAACCTGAGTACATAGCTTCTATGCAATAAATGTTTCTCCCCATCACAAAAAAAAAGAAAAAAAAAAGAAAAAATAATAAAAGGTTTTCTGCACCTGAAATAACATTGAAAAGATATTTTAAAATTATGTTTTTATTTTACTGAACTTCAGTACATTTAGAAGGTCATAAAGACTGTATTCTCCACTGTTTGCAAATCTGTAAATGAGCCTCAGACTCTGGAACATGGAGTATGACATACTGCTACATTAGCAAGTGTGTCCTTAAACAGCTATGGAATTGATTCTAGCCTGAGAACAGAAAGGGCTGAAATAAATTACTGAAGCCACGAAATCTTTAGCCTGAAGGAGTTCCCACCTCAACCACCCTCAGCACAGAGGAAGATTTCCAATTGAAGCCCAAGTCACCATGCAGCTCTCTGTGGCTACAGTAGTTAGGCAGCTTGCTTGCAGTACCATGTCCTCAAAGGAGACAATAGTAATTGTTCTAAATCAGTGATTTGTGTATTAAGAAACATCAAACCTGCCTTTTGTAATGCTGCTGCTAATTGCAGGACACCTGAGAGCCCCTGTCACTGCACTGCAGCTGCCCTGAATGATGCTTTGCTACTGCTGCAGGCAAGACCTGGGTGTGAGCAAAATTCCCAGACTGTATGCCTTAAAAACCACAAAACAGTAAGCTCAGTGCTAGATTCAACTATTTCAGCAAAGAATGAAATACAGCTAAGTCCAAAAGAGCCCTCGAACAAGAAAACTGGCCGACACCAATGGCAGGCACATGCCCCGCCCTTCAGCTTGCAGACAGCTTGGGGACCCAGAGCCCTGCTGCGACAGACACCCTCCCATCCCTCCTCCCCTTCCCCTTCCCTTCCCTGGTGCCTGAGTGGTTTTTCTGAGAGGAACCAAAGGCCAGCCCGCAGTGCCAGGGCACTCTGAGGAGCCGTGGTGTCAGGGGTGGTGGTGCTGAGGCCCAGCAGTCGGTGTCTGTAGGCCTGCTCCCTCCTGCCTCCCGCATCCGGCATCCACCCCACGCCTTCTGCCACCAGCTCTGTTTCACTGCTGCTCATCCCGGCAAGATGTCGGTGAGGGCTCCAGTGCAGATGAAGCTGACAGCTTTAAGCCTTTCTAGCCACTGCTGTAAAGCTCCACACAGATGCCAAACACACATCCAGTAGAATTCCTGCTGCTCTGGAACAGAATATGGGTGGAAACGAAGCCCACAGCAGTGGCTGAAAGAAAACCAGATACTTGGAACTACCTGATACAAAATCCTAAACTAGGGGGAAGCAGCCTCAGTCAGGAAAGCTTTGCTTTTCTGTGGCAGCTGCTTGTGCCCCCACAGCTTGATGCAAAAGGTCTCAGGAGTCAAAGCTCCCAGTTTGGAGCTGTCTCTCTGCTCTAAGCAGCACCAGAGAAGTCTGTTAGCACAGTGAGCTGGCAGGACACTGTGCTAGTGCTCACACTCCTTTGCTACAGACTCTGCCTTCAGCTCCCACGCCCATGGGTCTCAAGGCTTGGCATCATGAATTATGCACCTCACCAAATAACCAATCAGGCTTCTGACAGAAAGTTGTCAGGGAGACTGAACAAAACTACAGATTGGGAACTAAGTTTAAACAGGCTTCTCTCAGTGTTGGATTACAAAACTTTTTAAAGGCAAAACCGATTTGAAAAAAAGAAAACCCCAAATAGTGATCCACCTTCAGTGTCATATATCTGTTTTGCAATTGCTTTTGCCTGTTAACCATGTAGGAATCTGTCTGACTGCTCTAACCATCTACATTGATGGCTGCTGGATTGTCTTGTGAATATTTATATATATATGTCTGTTAAAACATTACACCATAGGAGTTTCAGTTTGTGCTGCTGATGTCTTCAAATATTGTGAAGTAACTTTCACTCCAATTTGCTTTTCTTCAGTACAACGCTCTACATTTATGCAATTTAAATATTATAGTGTTTACTGTTTTCTGTTTCTCTCCTATTTGCTTTTTAGGATATCCCATTGCTGTACAATGTTGCTCTGCTTTAACCGAAAACACTGCAGATAGTTTTCTGTATTCATTTGCTGTTTTCACCGGGAAAACAGGTGAGCATGAGAACAGTTCCATTGGTTTTGAAAAATATAGGACTTACAAAGCACCACTGAGCTAAAGGAGTTTTAAATATATATATATATATTCTGTTTGTATTTTTTCTTACTGAAATAACTGTGAAACCCACTTTCTCCAGCTATATGCAGCAGTGTATGTTGTGCTTAATTGGAGAAATTGTTATGTTGAACTGTTGGCTGTTTGAACAGGAAGCAGAATATACAAATAATACTTGCAGTTTCAGGCCAAGCTTAATTTTGTAGCTTTTTGAACAAGAAATAACAGAATCGCAGTGTGATTTTAGTAAAAGATATAGGAAAGCAAATGGAAAAGACAGAATCTAGTAGGCAAAGTATGCCTTTAAAAGTCATAAGGAGCTAATTCATCTAGAAACTGTATAGCTTCATAAGAGATGAGATAAAAATTTTAACTGGGGATGGTGTCCTTAGGAAACTGCTGCCTTCCTGTGTACAGCTTGGTTAACAACACTGAGTCATGGTGTGGTGAGCCCCAGATTGAGCAGCCTGGAGAGTCTTGGCTTTGGAGTCTGGATTTTGCCAACCCTTGAGTTATTTAGATGAAAATATTTTTCGTAGTATACTAGTTCTGGCTGAGCTGGAGTTAATTTTCCCACAGCAGCCCTCACAGTGCTTTGCATTGGTGTCTGGAAAGATGTTGATAACACAGCAGTGTTTTGGCTACTGCTGAGCAGCACTGGCACAGCATCAGCCGTGTCTCTACATTGTGCCCCATCAGCAGGCTGGGGTGGTCCTGGCAGGGGACACAGCTCGGCCAGCTGACCCAAACTGACCAAAGGGAACTCCATAAAATGTGATGTCTCTCAGATATAAAACTAAGGGAAGGAAGAGAAAGGGGGATGCTTTTTATTTACAATGTTTGCCTTCTAGAGAAACCTCTATATGTGCTGGAGCCCTGCTCCCCAGGAGGTGGCCAGACATCACTCGCTGATGGAAAGTAAGGAATAATTTTTTCCCCCTTTGCTTGTAATTAGACAGTTTTCACTTCTGTTTTAGCAAACTGCCTTATTTCAACCTACAAGTCATTTTCCATCTGATTTTCCCTCCCCTGCCCAGCTGAGAAGGGGAAGTGATAGGTCAGCTTGGTAAGCACCTGGCATCCAGCAAAGGTCAACCACACATAACTATTGGGGAAAAGATTTTGGCTACCTTAAGACTCAGATCTGATGGAGAAGTTAGGGTGAAATCCTGTGTCCCTGTTACCTGTGATGTAAAATGAGAATTGGTTTGTTTTGAGAGTGAACCTCTCCATTACAATGTTTGGTACCAAGTTTAAATTTTAAACAATGTAATGCTATAACTTTAAAGGGCCAGACCGTTTGACTACTCTCTGGGTTTGTCCACTGGTTCTTCTTGCATTCTATTCAGCTTCTCCTTCTTCAAAAAGTTTTGTTTGTAGTAGTACAAATCCATCAGAGAAAACCAGAGAAAATCAGCAGCTGAGAAGCTGCTGATTCAGGGAGAAAAAGAAGAAAGGAGGATAAGGTCAGTCTTAATAATAGGTAGTTAAGATTATTATGTGGGGGGTTAGGGGGTATTTATGGGTTTTTTCTAAATAGCCCTAATTTTTTTTTTCTGGCAATCCCTAATCTTACTGGTAGACTTCAAACTCTTTGTCTGCTATCTTTTCTGATATAAAGTCTGCACTTTAGCCTTTTTTAATCAGAACTAAATAACACTGCTAGGAAAAAAATTATTGGAGAATAATAAAAAATCTGTGGTCTGTAGCCTAAATGTCTACGTGAAAATTGGATGGTATGCAGTATGAAGGCATAGCAGTTGTGCCTTGATCCCACTCAGCCTTTTAGGAGACTGTTTTCATGTACTCACCACTCTTTCTCTACATAAGATCCTGTTTGGTTCATCCCCCAGAGCTGTGCATGACTGGTGGTGTTTGGGTTCTTCTCTTGTCCTCTTTTGACCTCTTTTAACCTTTTCAAGTTCAGTAATATTTTGGCTCAATGGAAGTTTTATATGAGGTGTCCCTGCCTCTGAAGAGAGGGTTTCAGTCAGCTTCCAGATTCTTGCTGCTGCACTGCTGTGTTATTTTGGGCAGTGTTTTTATCCACCCAGTCATAGAATAGCAGTCATCGAGGTAGGAAGGAACCTTGGGGATTGCATCAGCTATGCCCCTGCTCAAAGAAGGGTCACCTGGAGCGGGCTACTCATAACTGAGTCCAGTTGGGTTTTGAACATCCTCCAAAGATAAAGAAAACCTCCCTGGACAGAATAGTTGTGTATTAAGTCACCTTCATGTTAAATAATGAGGGTTTTTTTATGTTTAATCTCTAATATTCCAGTGTATGTCCATTGCCTCCTGTCCTTTCAGTGGATAACAGTAGAGGAGTTTAACCCTGTCTTCTTTGCACTCACTATCAGATATTTAGGCACACTGATATTATTGATTTGTAAGAAGAAGTAAACAGAACTATGGTAAATTATTCTCCCTGTGGTCAGCAGCACAAAATGCTAATATAAGATCCAACTAATGAAGGATAGTCTCAGACTACTTGTGGTTCAGAGGTAAATCATAAGTAAGGCATGGCAGATTTTTCTTTTGGTTTTGTAATTTCAGTTAAGAGTCTAAGTTTCACAAAGATGAGAGAACTTGGGGTGGTAAATTGCTCAGGTCCTCCAGAGCACATAGGCTTTCTTTCTTTCTCCATGAAAGAAAGCAAAAAAAAAAAAAAAAAGGAAAAAACATTGTCCTGGCAAACTTCAATTTTTAATTGAGTGCTTGCTCTATTAATGTATCTATGTCTATAATGTGACACATGAAAATTTTTATGCAGTTTTGAGCAAGTGTTGATATATTAGTGTTCAGACTAGTCCTTGAAATGATCTTTTAATAGAGCTCAAAGTATGTTAATACTGAGTGCTGCTGATCTGCATCTTGATAGTACCTTGGGGTTTGTCTTTGTCCCATATATCATGGAGCTGTTGCAGTTGAGGACTGGACATTGGAGGTTCACACGGCCACAGCCCATTCCAATGGAATGGGAATCCAGGGTGAGAGAGCCAGCGTGGCTGGTCCTGACTGGCTGCACTTCACTGCCACCCGGCTCACTGGCCAAGAGCTGCCTGCATCCCCAGTGGCCTCGGCTGGCGGAGTTATGTCATCAGGGTTACCTGTGACTGTGCGGCCTCCAGGCCAGCTCTTAGCCACCACTTACTAAGGTAAGTAAAGTAAGGGTAAAGAGAAAGTTGCAATCTTGCAGTGAGGTCTCCCCTCAGTCTCCTCCAGACAGAACAGACCAAGTGACCTTATCTGCTCCTTGCACAGCTTCCCTCAAGGCCCTTCACCATCTTCATAGTTCTCCCTTAGACACTTTCTAACAGCTTAATATATTTCTTGTATTGTGACATACAAAAACTGCCCCCAGCACTGGAGGTGAGGCTGCCCCAGCTCAGAGCAGAGCAGGACAATCCCCTCCCTTGCCCAGCTGTGATGCTGTGCCTGATGCACCCCAGGACAGGGTTGTCCCTCCTGGCTGCCAGGGCACTGCTGACCCATGTTCAACTTGCCATTGACCAGGACCCCCAGGTTCATTTCTGTGGGATTTCACTCCAGCCACTCATTCCCCAGTCTGTCCTCACTGCTGCAACTCCAATCTTGCCTCTATACGATGGCCTCTGTACCTCTGTAAAGATCAAATTTCTCTCTTTCTTTTGTAACCAACAATTACTGATGTGATCTTGCCAAAATAAATAAATCAATGTATGATGTCTAAATTTTAAACATGAAGGATAATTTTGAAATAAACAAAACTGTCACAAAGTGGAGGAGCATTGCTGTGCTTTAACATGCATGTACTCTGGCCTACCTACCCTCCACATGCTTGTTCCAGTCTTCCTGACATAATTATCGAAGGAAGTTGTTCCTGAAAAGTTTTTGGTTTTGTTTCTATTTAAAGCCCACCCAAGTGCACATGTATACACATGTGTCTGGATTGTCTGTGACCTACCTTTCCTGTTTTTTAATAAAATTATAAAAGAAATACTTTTAGCATTGATATTTTCAACAGTAGCAGACTCTTGGGGGGTGAGGACAGTAGCTTTTGCTCATTAAACATGTGAAATGTTTTACAAAGCCTCATACTACATGAGGAAACCTTAGAGGATTTGATCAGAGGTTGTAACTTTTGGTGACAATGCTGATTTTGCTCCCATGCTTTCCTTCAGGATGTTTGGAATGACTTAGAATGATGTCTAACTTTGTCCTGCACTTCTATAAGGTGAAAGACTTGAGTGAGACATGGAACTTTTTAAAATTGTTCCTCACTTTTTCCTCACAATTATTATTTAGTGTATTAGTAAAGTATTATATTTTTTTGATAAGACTCTTATAATTTAAAGGCTTATTTGAAGATATATTGTCATTTCCACCTTTACACTTAGTAGCAAAAATATCATTGAAGTAGCAAGTTATGTAGGTGTCATCCAGAAGCAGACATTCAGATATATGCATAACAATAGTCCATATGAACTTATAAATAATTTTTAAAAGTTTTTTTTCTTCTCTACAGAATTTTTGATAGTTATTATTAAATATGTTTGGAGCTTCTCCCTTTGCTAATTTAACTTTGGGAATGGAGAATCTTATATTCTGAATCATATTCCCTGTCATCAGCAGGGAAAAATTCTCAAGAATATTCTTTTAACATGTGTGATTTTAGAATGCATGAGAGCTGTTTCCCTGGTAACCAGTGTGGAAGATGGTTCTGAATCCTACAGAATATGAATGGCGCATCTGAAATAGCTGCTGGGTTTAAGGGAGATGCTTTTTTCAGTTTTTGCTCCCCAACCTCATCTTCCAGGCCAAATTTGTTTCTTTATACTTCTGTGGAAAGATAGCTTTTTTGTTGTTGATTAGTAAAAAGTGACAGATAAGACTTCAAAACATTGCCTGGCACAGATATTAGGAATGCTTGCTTATTGGTAAATGAACAAGAGAAGTGAAAACACATTTTATTTTTGGATTATGTCCCTACTGGAAAACAATAACTTCTTATGAGTAATAGAGATTAAATCTCCTTTGGTTTTTCCACAGCTCTTGTCACTGCCTTGTAGTAGTGAAAATGGTCATGGATTTGTTTTCATGTAGCTATGTGCATTAGGTTGTGAAGCTATTTTCAGCATTTATTATAGTACCTCCATAGAAGTGGTTAACAGTGGTTAACATGGTAGTCCTCCAAAACTGCTGAATTATCATAAAGATTTTCCTTCCTGACAACTCTGAAAAAATCCCTTTCTGCTGCTTTTCTCTTCTTTCAAGAGAAAATTCTGAAAATTTTTCTGTTTCTTGTAATTAAAACCCTATGGTTTTGTTGTAACCTTATGTATTTTCAGTAATTCAGATTTATTTATTTGAAAGCCATTTTTGTTATATCCACGTTTGCACACTAGCTCCATTTAGTTCTGCATATCAAACTCTTATTCCTACAATTACAGAAAGATGTTTTCTTCTTTCAGTGGTACAAGCCTAACAGCTACAGTACAAACCATTGCAGATCCTGTGTTAAGGTGGTTTAGTTGTTCATGCGACAGTGAATCTCCTGATTTAATTAGTAAATGTTGCTATCTTTATTCTCCTAAATATTTCTGCCCTTTTTTTTTCTGTAGAGAGTCAGAAATGTGGCCTGTCAGAGGCTTAAGAGCAGAGGCTTGAGGGTACTGAGTTTTGCAGAGCTGGTAAGTCACCTAAAGCCTAAACATGATCCTTTTCAGGACCCTTTTCCAGTGGCCATGGCTAACTGGAGGAACAGGTTATACTTACCCGTGTGGCAGTCAGTATTTGGAAGCAGAGGGAAAAATTGAATGCTTGAAGTGACTGGGAGGAGGATAATTGTATGGCATTCACGGAAGTATTTGCATGTCACCTTTTGTCTGTGACCTGGTCGGTAGAATACATAATGCCGTATTGTGGCAGTAATGATTCAGCAGATAATTTCCTGAAATTACATCCACTAAATGCATTCTGAGAAAATGCTTATCAGAAATTTCACTGAAGAGTGAAATACAATTTGCCTATGTTTTGGGAGGTATGTTTTAAATTTTTTTAAGCACAAATAATGTTTTTAAACTTGCTAGTAATAACAGAATCCCAAGAACTTGCTGGTATATAGCCATGTTTCAAAGACTCCTGTTCTCCCATGATGCTAGAATGGACAGCTTTAAGATATGATTATATATTTCTAGATATATAATGCATCACTATTTATCTGTTCTATTATCTATACTTTCTGTACTACCATCTTTTTATTACCTTTTTAGTACTTTTCTGTTATTCCTAATGTAACAACTATCGTTTGTTTTCTAAAGATGTACCAGGTTTTAAAAGGTACATTCCAATTTATGTGTCCATTTATTTTCCAGCTATTTTAATTAGAAAGATACTCAGTCCAATCTGACTGCATATGCTGTTCCATCCTGAATTTCAATTATCTTTTGTTTAATATCTCAGAAGTATGCATATTGCCTGGAATACTCCATATTCAAGCTCTTTTTTGAATGCCTAGCCTCTTCTTAGCATGCTTTTAAATGATGCTCTGTCAAGATGTGCTTCAAAAGCCTAGTTTCATTTTAGCTAATGAGCCCTGAAGAGTTTTATGGGAATGGAGTAACAAAACACTGTGTATTGTGGGATTTGCAAAGACCCAGTGTTCAGGGTTTATGTCAAGAGGCACAGGAAGGCACATAAAGGAAGGAAAAATACAAGAGGAGGACTGTGTACTCTACTTAACATCAGATGGGAAGCACAAAACTTGTGAATCATCTTGTATTCAGGGTTATAAAAGGCCATGGGGTAAAGCAGGATGGCTCTGCTTTTTACCTATGTATTTCATACCACTTTGTGAATCATATCAATAGCCCATTTTCTTTTGCTATATGTTGACTTAGAGTAGATAACTTGGATATTAATAAAATATTAACCTAACAATTCTTTAAAATTAAATTGGTTATATTGAGTGAAGAACTGCATGAATGAAAGGAACAGGAGAACTCAAAAGTATCAAGTGGCTTAAAGGCTGGTGCCATTGGCAGAATTTTGGATTCTTTGATCGTGGGACAACTTTCACGGCACCTGGCCTGCTGGAACTGTATGGACTCCATCCCTCTGTTAAGGGCAGAAGGATTTTAGCTCATGAACTAGCAGAGCTCATTGAGAGGGCTTTAAACTAGGTTTGAAGGGGGAAGGGCAGGCAGTTGGGCTGTCTGGAAGCAGGCCCAAGGGTGGTAAGCCAGAGGTAGGGGTGGGATCAGCAGCCCAGCTGAGGGGCATGTGCACTAATGCACACAGCATGGGCAACAAGCAAGAAGAGCTGGAGGCCATGGTGAAACAGCAAAGCTCTGATGTAGTCACCATCACAGAAACATGATGGGATGACTCACATGGCTGGAACACTGCACTGGTGGCTGCAAGATCTTCAGAAGAGACAGGAAAGGAGAAGAGGTGGAGAGGTGGCCCTTTATATTAGGGAGGCTCTCGATGGCATGGGCATTGAAACTAATGACAATGAGGCTGAGTGCCTATGGGTAAGAATTAAGGGGAAGGCCAACAAGGCTGGCATCCTACTGGGAGTCTGTTATCGTCCACCCAACCAGGAAGAAGAGGTGGATAACTTATTCTAGAAGCACATGAAGGATGTTTCAAGATCACCAACCCTTGTTCTTTTAGGTGACTTGAACCTACCAGACATCTGTTGAGAAGTCAACATAGCAGAGGAGGGGCAGTCTAGAAGGTTCTTGCAGTGTGTGGAAGAACAACTTTTTGTCACAGCTGGTGAGTGAGCCCACCGGGGGGGGACTACACTTGACCTGCTTTTGCAAACAGAGATGGGCTGGTAGGAGATGTGGTGGCTGGAGGCTGTTTGAGTCATAGTGACCATGAAACAAAAGTTTTCAATATTTGGCAAGAAAAGAATGGGCATGAATAGAACTTATGCACTGGACTTCCAGAGGGCAGATTTTAGCCTATTCAAGAGACTTATTTGGAGGGATCCTTGGGAAGTAGTCCTTAAGAACAAAGGAGTCCAGGAAAGGTGGGCGTCCTTCAAAACAGAAGTCTTGAGGGCACAGGAGCAGACAGTCCTGATGTACCAAAAGATGAGCCGATGAGGCAAATGTCCAGCCTGGATGGGCAAGGAGCTTTTGGAGGAACTAATTAAAAAAAGGAGTGTATCACCTTTGAAAGTAGGGTCAGGTATCTCAGGAAATGTTTAGGGAAATGTTAGGCAGTTGCTAGGGCATGTGGAAAAAAGTTAGAGAGGCAAAAGCCCAGTTAGAGCTCAAACTGGCAACTTCTGTGAAGGACAATAAAAAATACTTTTATAAATACATTAATGGCAAAAGAACAAATCTCCATTAATGGTAAGGACAACCTTCATTCTCTATTAGATGCAGGAGGGAACTTAGTACCTAAAGATGAGAAAAATGCAGAGGTACTGAACACTTTCTTTGCCTCAGTTTTCAACAGCAAGACATGTCCTCAGGACAACTGTCCTTCTGGGTAGGTGGATGTGTCAGGGAGCAGAATGGTCCCCCTGTTATCCAGGAGGAGGCAGTCAGAGAACTGCTGAGCCACTTGGATGTTCATAAATCCATGTGACCAGATGGGATCCATCCCAGGGTGATGAGGGAGCTGGCAGATGAGCTTGTGAAGCCACTCTCCATCATTTACCAGCAGCCCTGGCTCACTGGGGAGGTTCCAGATGACTGGAAACTGGCCAATGTGACGTCCATTCACAGAAAGGGTGGGAAGGAGGATCCTGGTAATTATAGACCAGTCAGCCTGACCTCAGTACCTGGTAAGTTAATGGAGCAGTTTACACTGAGTGTCATTATGCAGTCCTTACAGGATGGCCAGGGTATCAGACCCAGCCAGCAGGGGTTTAGGAGGGGAAGGTTGTGTTTGACCACACTTTTTTTATGACTAGGTACCCCCTTGGTGGGTGCAGGAAAGGCTGTGGGTGTTGTGTACCTGGACTTAGCAAGGCCTTTGACACTGTCTCCCACACACACTCCTGGGAAAGCTGGCAGCACACAGGCTTGGACAGGAGCACTCCTTGCTGGGTTAGGAAATGGCTGGATGGCCAGGCCCAGAGAGTTCTGGTGAATGGTGCTGCATCCAGCTGGGGCCAGTCACAGGGGTGTCCCTCAGGGGTCTGTGCTGGGGCCAGCTCTGTTCAATATTTTTATTGATGACATGGATGATGGGATTGAGTCTTTCATCAGTAAATTTGCAGATGACACTAAGCTGGGACTGTGTGTCAATCTTTTGTGGAGGGTAGGAGGGCTCTGCAGAGAGACCTGGAATGGTTGGATGGATGGGCAGAGTCCAATAAGATGAAGGTTAATAACTCCAAGTGCCGAGTCCTGCATTTTGGCCACAATAAGCCCCTGCAGCATTACAGGCTGGGGATGGTGTGGCTGGACAGTGCCCAGAAAGGGACCCAGGGGTGCTGGTCCACAGCCGGCTGAACATGAGCCAGCAGGGTGCCCTGGGGGCCAAGAAGGCCAAGGGCATCCTGGCCTGTGTCAGGAATAGTGTGGCCAGCAGGAGCAGGGAGGTCATTCTCCCCCTGTACTGGGCACTGGTGAGGCCACACCTCGAGTGCTGTGTCCAGTTCTGGTCCCTCAGTTTGGGAAGGACCTTGAGATGCTTGAGTGCGTCCAGAGGAGGCAACAAGGCTGGTGAGGGGCTTGGAACACAAACCCTGTGAGGAACAACTAAAGGGGCTGGGGTGGCTCAGCCTGGAGAAAAGGAGACTCAGAGGTGAGTCTATCTTTAGATAGAGTTATCACTCTCTAAAATCTCCTGAAAGGTGGTTATAGTCAGGTGGGGTTGGTCTCTTCTCCCAGGCAACCACTGACAGAATGAGAGGTCACAGTCTTAATCTGTGCCAAGGGAAGTTTAGGTTGGATGTCAAAAAAATTTCTCCACTGAAAGCATGATTGGGCAGTGGAATAGTATGCCCAGGAAGATGGTGGAGTCACCACCCCCAGACATGTTTAAAAAAGGCTGGATGTGGCACTCAGTGCTGTGGTTAAGTTGATGAAGAGGTGCTAGGTGATAGGTTGAACCCTATGATCTTAAAGGTCTTTTCTGACCCAGTTCATTCTGTGATTCTGTCAATTCCAGCTTGCATTATAGATTATGACCTCTTCAAACTTGGCTCCATCTGCCTTTGGTGCTTGTGGGACTTGGGAAAAAAAAATCTTCCTTTAAGAACTGAAATGGGGGGGGGGGGGGGGGGGGAGGGGGGTGAGGGGCTGTTTATTTCACAGCATTGTTACATAATTCTGACAGTCACATAATGTTTTTTTCTTTGATTCGAGCTAGAGGGCACTTCTGTTATGTGATAGGGCTGTTTATTTTGAGTTTATAAAATTTTGGCCAGAAATTAAGTGCAGGTTAGGTAGTCTTCCTCTGAAATACAAGGGTTCCATCCACTGGCAGTGAAAAAAGTTAGTGGTGGGATTTTTGGATGGGTTTTTAAAACTGAATTGTATTTGCATTGTGCTTTTGTTTACTTCTGAAAGATGACACATCAGAACTGCCTTCCTGAGGGCCATGGTGTACCTTGTAACATCAGCACTTTACTAGAATAAATTCCTCCCAAAATTTGTTTGGCATATGTTCCATCATATTTTTTATCATTTTTCATATTTCTTTCCAGTAAACCAGTAGAACATCAAAATTAGAGAAATCAAAAAAATATGTTGAAAGAATGGCTGTATTATCTTTTTTACATACAAAAATAGGAAATATTACTTATTCCTTGTCTAAAAAACTGCTTCAGTCTTCTTCTGATGGTCACATTACCTGGAGAGCACAGCTGTGCCAGCAATGTCCTCGAGAGGGGCTGCTGAACAGTACAGGCTTGAATAAGGGACTGATGGTAGCTTTGAAAGGAAATCCCCAAAGGATGATGCAAATACAAAAAAAAAAAAGTCATAGAGCAAGAATTGATGACAGTAATAAATATTTTAGAAAAATGGCCGTGATATAAAATGATACATACCATACTGCACTTTCCTAAGTTACCTGGGTTTTGCTTGCTCTTACTGGTAATATTAGGACCCCTGCAGCTGGGTGATTGTTCATTAATGTGAAGGTATGGTCTGCTACAGTACTGACATACAGTGTGATGAGGTGGTCAGTCACAGCGTTTTCTTGCTTTGCTACATCTGAAGATAAGACATTCAGAGAAAATCTTCCCTCTTTGTGTTGGCATATTTTCGACACCTAGTGGTACAAAGTATAAATTACTGAAGGTTTATTAATGGGAATACTACTTTACCAGCAGTAACTGCTTAGTAAAGCAATTAAGCAAATAGTAAACTCAGACAGAATGGAGTCAATTGTTAAACTTAAAAAAAATTACAGTCAATCTTTTAAGAAGAAATTATAACAGGTATTATTTTGCTCCTGTACCATCCTCCAGTTGGGGAAGAGCAAGAAAAGGCTGTCCATGTCCCTCTTACTTTAAAGCTCTCTGGGACAGGAATGGATTAATTCAGCCACATCATACTGATGCTGAATAACAGGAAATATAGACAAACTGACAGGTATTGTGGGAAAGAGGCTAAGCAGCCACAAGAAATTTTTCTGTTGAGTATTAATGAAATTGGTAAGGATGACTGAAAGTTTCAGAAGGATATTGTGAGAGTAAGCAGCAAAATAGCAGGTAAAGTTAATTGTAGATCAGTATAAAGTAATGCAGATGGAGAATAAAGGTATAGCACGTGCTGTCCCTCTTTCTTTCAATTGCTTACAGTGCAGATAAGACAATGATGTCACTTCATAAATCTCATTTTTGTCAGCACGTTTTTGACATTTTGGTACTTCAAGTTTATCTCAGAGGTAAACAGAACTGATAAAATTTCAATATGAGCCTAAGGGATGATCAAGTTTGGGAGTGTTTTCCACCCGAGAACTGAAATTACCTGGTTAGAAATCATCAGAGGAAAATACAGCAGAAGGTAAATATGTGTTGTCCTTTGTTGACTTTCTTGAGCCCACCACGTTTCTCTGTCATTTCCCCTCCCGTCATGGTTTAACCAAGCCTCCCCCAGCTGCTCACTCACTCCCCTGCAGCAGGATGAAGTGAACCAGCAGAGTAACAGCTGGAAAACTCATGAGTTGAGTTAAGGCTAGTTTAATAGGTAAAGCAAAAACTGTCCACACAAGCAAAGCAAAACAAGAAATTAATTTACCACTTGCCATGGACAGGCAGGTGTTCAGACATGCCCAGGAATGCAGGGCACAATCAAGCATAACAGTGACTTTGAAAGACAAGCACGATCATTTCTACTTCCCTCATCTCTATAGGCTGACCATGATGCCATACAAACTGGGATATCTCTTTTGTCACTTGGAGGGACCTGTTCTGGCTGTGTCTCCTCCCAAGTCCTTGTGCATTCCCAGCCTTCTTGCTGGTGGGGTGGAGTGAGGAGCAGAAAAGGTCTTGCCCTGAATAAACCACCCTGAGTTATCAGCACTGTTTCCAGCTCAAATCCAAAGTGCAGACCCACAGTAGCTACTCTGAAGAAAATTAACTCCTTCCCAGCCAAAACCAGCACATCTTCTTAACAGGGCCAAGAAGAAAACATGGTGAAAAAAATTCATGGATCAAGATAAAGACACTTATCCATTACCATTATGAGCAAAAAGGAGTTGGCTTTGGGAAATTAATTGCCATTCAAGGGGATACCCTGTAGAGAGAATCAAGACAGAAAAAAAAAATCTCTAGAATTTATGAATTTATTCACTGAAGCACT